AGAGAGAGAGAGAGAGAGAGAGAGAGAGAGAGAGAGAGAGAGAGAGAGAGAGAGAGAGAGAGAGAGAGATTCATTCACCGATTCATTCGCGGTGAACATGATGAATAAGGATAATCGGTGCTTTCATCGTTATAGTCTTTCCTACCCATGCCTATGTTCGTCTACCTTTCTCTTTTTTTTTTTTTTTTTTTTTTTTTCCTCTTGTAATTCAGAACGATTTATATTGTGGTGATGTGAATTCGAACTTGGGTCTGTATTTCAGCAGACAGTCGATGGGTGCTTCCAATTTTTTTTCCAATCCACGTGTCCCTGTCCTCTCCTACCTCGTCCTCCTCTCCTATCTCGTCCTCCTCCCTCTTCTTCTCCTCCTCTTGTTGAGTTCGAAACTCCTTTTTTTTTTTTTTTTTTTTCCCCAAAAATTCGGACCATTTCTCGATTGATGCGTGTCATCCTTGCGCAGGGGCCATTTTCTTAATTACCCTTCTCTGTATCGTTCCAATTTTAACGGATGTCCCGAAGGACTTGGAAACTCCTTTCGTAGGCACTTCCTCTCTGAGGTCGCGTTATGGTGCGAAGCACAGAACGTCGTCGCGATGAAGCTAGACCAGTCAGGATGGACAGAATGTGAGCAGGATTCCGTGCAGGCAGGCTGTGGTCATAGGTAGAGTCCGTTATCACAAAGAAGACGAAGAAGAAGGATAAGGATTTGGAATTTGAAAACGCTTCGGGTCCACGGGTAAAATAATATAAAAGTGACAGCGCATACATGGACTACACCAAGAAGAAGAAGAAGAAGAAGAAGAAGAAGAAGAAGAAGAAGAAGAAGAAGAAGAAGAAGAAGAAGAAGAATGAATGAATGAATGAATGAATGAATGAATGAAATGAGAATAGCGAGGGCAATAGTTAGCCATGCAGGCAAAGAAAGAGTCTTCATTACACCGGCTCGGGGGGGTGGTGGGGTGTCAGTCCAAACATGAGAGTGAAAATAACTATGAATTTACCGGGGGGGCGGAAGGAAAAAAGAAAACGAAAAAAGAAAAACAAAGAAAAAGAGAAAGATATGAAGGAGAGAAAGGAAGAGGTTCGTATGGAAACAACCATCATGATGACAGGGTTCCCTGAAGAAACCAACCTCCCCTTGCATTTCTTGTGATTATCGACGGCGCCCATCTCCATTGCACCCACTTCCTTCTCACAGGGGAGATGGGCGGAAGGGTTGGTTCGAGTTTGTTCATCAAGCAAGGTGTGGTGTGAGTGGACAATGGACATCAGCTGAGGTCTAAGACAGAGTGGAGTGACAAGGGGTAGCATCAGCTGAGGCCTATCCTATCGATTCAGAGTCCCACATCATCCCGCATCATCTGTGGCAGCACCCGGTGTTTCGCCTTGGGCCCGTCTGCTACTCCAATCAGCTGCCCCTCAATCCCTAACAGGTGGCCCATTTGGGAAGAGCAGCAAAGGACCCATTTTGTCCACAGAAATGACCTTCTTCTGAGAGCAGAAGGGTCCCTTTTGGGAAGCAAAAAAGGACGTTTTTTTTCTCAGAGGAATGACCCTTTTTTGAGAGCCAAAAGTCTCATTTGGGAAGCAACAAAGGATCCCTTTTTCTTCCCACAGGAGAAGCCTGCTTTTTTTTGAGAGCGAAGAGGTCCCTTTGTGAACAGAAAAGTCCATTTTTTGTTAACAATGCAGAAATTTTCACTTTTTGGCTCACAAAAGACTCATTGGCTCACAAAAGACCCACTTTTTCTTTTGTGAGAGCAAAAGTCCAGCGAATTCCAATAGCATAGAAAGATCGCATTTCAGGCGACAAAAGGGTCTCTTTCGAAATAGAAAAGATCCATTCGTTTGAGACAGAAAGTGTTATATGCTTTGGGAGAGAAAAGAGCCCTTTTTGAGAGGGAATAGACAGAAAGGCCCCCTTTTTGAGAGTGAGTAACGGGTCCTTTCGAACACCGAAGGGGGCCCAGAAAAAGCAATCCTTTGAAAAGACAAAAGATCCACTTTTTGATGCAGAAAGGGTTAACTTTGTTTTGAGAGAGGAAAAAGTCTTTTTTTTTTTTATAGAGAGAGAATAAGGGTCCCTCCTTAACCACATTTCTGTGAAAGAGAGAGAAAAAGGCCCCCTTTTCAACACACACACACACACACACACACACACACACACACACACACACACACACACACACACACACACACACACACACACAGTGCGAAAGAGTCATTGACGAAGTTTCGGCACAACATTTTGCTCATCCTCTTCAGGTCAAACAGAGGAGCAACACAAGGGTGGTGGATTTATTATCCTTAAGTGTAAATGGCGACGAAGGCAGTCTGCGGTCCATTGATTGGAATGAGGACTTCCTTGCAGCATGACTGCAGCACTAGGAAGAGGAGGAGAAGGAGAAGCCTTAGGGTGGATTTATCCCCATCACCGGGCAACATGGCACATGCTGCTACTCTTTTGACAAGTGTAGAAGCTCAGCAGCAGAGGGAGGTGGCCATGAAGGCTAGCAGATCGGCATGGTCGCCTGCTTATGTTTCTCTCTCTTCCAACCATTTGCACATCAGCCGCAAGAAATCGATCTCCTTCTGCCACGTGGAGGGCGTACAGATAGCGTTGGGTCTGCGCACCGGCCTGGCCCTCCTCCCAACAAGACATAGTTATCGGTCAAGCAGTGGCACAGGGACAACCTCGGGCTTGGGCAAGCACACATATGTGAAAGGGAGGAGAGTGGGAAGAGAGACATTGTGGTGGGCTGCCAAAAACCGACCCATTTCTGAGACGTCGGTCCAGTCGGAGGGGTACTATTCTCTGGACGACGGGGACGAAGGAGATGCGGGCGGCGATGGTTTTGGCAACGATCAAGGGGTCGGTGAAGGGGTCGGTGACGATCTAGGAGTTGAAGGGGGGGGTGGGGCCAGTGAGGCCTCTGGAGGCCCAGAGACTTTTTTGTCGCTGGCAGAAGCCGGACTCGTGGAGCTGGCACCTCTGGACACGCACGAAAAGTTCCTGGCACGGTTAACGATATCCTCCCTGAACCTGCTGAGAACGATATCACGACAAGAAGGTGTCCCTATTAAGGAGTTGAATGCTGGGAGGATTGTGGATTGGTTTACAAAGGACAAGATGAAGAGAGAGAATGGAAGCGACTCAGCAGTGCTTAAATGGTAGAGGTACAGGAGGAGGAGAATGAGGAGGAGGAGGGGGGAAGAATGAATGCCTCCGACTTATATACAGTATGGCAGTGGTAGCAAGAAAGGTAGCGGAGTAGGAAGAGGAGGAGGAGGAGGAGAAGGAAGGCGAGGGGGAAGAATGATATGTAACCAACTTATACTGTACCAAAAGACAAGAGAGAGAGAGAGAGAGAGAGAGAGAGAGAGAGAGAGAGAGAGAGAGAGAGAGAGAGAGAGAGAGAGGGAGAGAGAAGGACGATGGCAGTGATGGAAGTAACTCAGCAGTGTTTAAACGGTAGCCGGAAAGGTGAAGGGGTAAGAAGAGCAGGAGGACCTTGAAGGGAGAATTATTAGTTAATGCGATTTCTACTGTATCATCAGGAGTCTGTTCCGCAGGGACTTAGCAAATGTTTTTTCTTTTTTCTTTTTTTCTTTTTTTTGAAGTTAGGCAGCAGGAACAGTTCTTAAATGGTACTGGAAAAGATAGAGTAGCAGGAAGGGAGGAGGGTAAGGATTTAAAAAGGGAGGTGGGTGGGAGGAGGGAGAATGAGTATTTGCAGCTTCCCCTGCTCAGCCTGGTGATGTGTGCAATGCGTCATAACCCACATCAGTGTCACAAACACACTCCGTGTTGTGCAGCGACCTAGGCCGCAGAGAGAACAAAATTCCAGCAGGTGTCGCTCTCCACCAATAGATTGAAGCACCTGGCCGGACTCCTAGGAAGTAGGGGCTGCTCGTATCCTCCCCCCCCCCCCTAGTAGGACCAGTAGTCAACAGAGCAAATCCACTTCTGTCTCCGAAAAGAAAGAAACATTGGTCAAGGAAAGAGACAAACTTGCCCCTGAGTTTACGAAAGTACGAGTGTGAGTAATTCCCTAAAACAGAGAATATGGAGCAGGTGGCAGTGGGATAAAGGTACCGTAATGGTGAAGGATCTGCAACCCTTTTTGTTTTTTTTTAACATTTGGAGAATTTCATTTCTGGATTTATACCTGTCAATGTGCAGAAGCCACGCTAATCTTCTGTCTATCGCTCCGTTCCAAAATCTGTAGAAAGCCTGGTTATTATCGCCACACCTGGACTGAAAGTAGCCGCAAGTACAGCGATAATGAACGGGCGTTCTATTTGGGCGAAGATGGTAGGGAAGGTTGCTCTTACCACTTTCCCTACTAGGTGGTAGCAGGCCAGTTMAAAAAAAAAAAAAAAAAAAAAAAAAAAAAAAAAAAACCTAGTAGGTAGCAGGTCGGTTAAAAAAAAAGAAAGAAAAGAAAGAAAAAAAAGAAAAAAAGAAAGAAAAAAAAAGAAAAGAAAAGAAAAGGCAACTTGGCAAGACATTAACGTGGAGCTGTCGAGAGGTCAACCGTTGATTCCGATTGATTGTGAAATCTTTTTTTTTTTTTTGGAAAGTATTGTGAAATCTGCCAAGTAACCTTTGTCTGACCTTCGAATGTTTCATACAATAGAGCATGATATTGGGCCTACGGTAGCTCCACTGCTCTCGAAATGTGCAAAACGAGAGTGAATCTAGGGCTAGAAGGTGGAGAAAGATACACTGCCATATTTTTTGTCCTTTGTGCATGTTGAGAGTAGTGGAGCGAGGCGCATTGGGCGTCGCTGCACTACTCTCCACATGCACAAAAGACAAAAAAGATGGGAATGTATCTTTTCATGTTCTAGCGGAGTATTCATTTTCATTTTGCACATTTGGATAGTAGTGCAGCGAGGCCCTTTCTCTCGTTGCTACTGCAACTAATACCTGACATGATCGTGACAGTGTGCAGTTCCTGGGCTTTTTTTTTTTTTTTTTTTTTAAACAGGTTCCTGGGAAATTTAAGCAGCAGCCATACGGGGACGAAGAGGGAGGCATACTATACAAATTTATCGTCCATTGCATGCAGCCATTGCTTCATAAAACCGCCTGATGGCTACGGGTAGCACATGTGCGACATTGTGGGTGGCCACGTGCACAACAACTTTGTCGACAGGCTCCTTTGCACGGAAGGAGTTCAACTTGTTGCAATGGCCAAAGACCGGTCACGGGACCAATGGGACATATTTTGGGCCAAGTACCGGTCATGGGACCAGTGGGACATCGTTTCCTTCTCATCTACACAAGGAGGAGGAGGGAGAAGGGGCAAGATTTGAGCGTATGGCCAGAAGCACCCAGGCGTCTTCCAGCTACAGTCTGAGAGTTTTGCCACATGGCATGTCCCGTCGGGTCCCCTGCAGGCTGAGTCCAGTCCCAGTCCCAGTCCCAGTCCCAGTTCTCTCTCCAGCCTCTGGAGCACGTTTCGTTACGTTGTGCAGAAGGACAGCCTCGCAAGAGGCAAATCGCGAGTCGGCTGGCCGCCTTGCGGTGCGCACAATGGCTGTTGCCGGAGGCGAGACAGCTCTCGACATTGCGGTTTCATCCGTGCTGGATGCACTTGTGTTTGACTGCGACGGGGTCATTCTTGAGTCCGAGGACTTGCACCGACGAGCTTACAATGCCACATTTTCCCACTTCGATGTTCGGTGTCCCTCGGTGGGCCCTGGCGAGGGAACGGACTCGGAGGCGGGATCAGGACCGGTGGTGGCGTGGACAACAGCATTCTATGACGTCTTTCAGAACAAGGTGGGTGGCGGGAAGCCCAAGATGAGGTGGTACTTCCGTGAGCATGGATGGCCTACAAGCACGATCTTTCCGTCGGGTCCGCAAACGGACGACGAGAAAGTCGCCCTCATCGACACATTGCAAGATTGGAAAACAGCCAAATACAAGGATCTGATAGGATCAGGGGAAGTGCTGCCCCGACCTGGCATCCTACAGCTGATGGACGAAGCGCGAGCGCTCGGGCTAAAAATAGCAGTTTGCTCAGCTGCAACCAAGAGTTCTGTCATTTTCTGCTTGGAGAGCCTCTTGGGAAAGGATCGCTTCGACGGTCTGGACTGCTTCCTGGCCGGTGATGACGTCGATAAGAAGAAGCCTGATCCCAAGATCTATAACATTGCAGCAAAGATGTTGAATGTCGCACCCGATCGCTGTCTCGTGATCGAGGATTCTGTAATTGGCCTTCAGGCAGCGATGAGCGCAGGTATGAGATGCATCATCACGCATACTAGCTCAACAAAAGATCAGAACTTTGACGGTGCGTCTGCGGTATTCGAAGACTTGGGTACGGTGACGTTCAGAGAATTGCTCCCGATTCTACAGCAAGGCTAGTCAGACTCCTACAGCGCTAAAATGGTGACTGGCAGCCCACTGGGGCTTCTCATTTTTTTTATTTTTTTTTTTTTTACACTGCTACCTTGCCTCACATCATTTTTTTTTTTTTTT